TTGTACACACACGCACACGCTACATACTAGCATTTCTCCCTGCGAGTTGCAGGATTCTCTCTGCGGTTTCTCTTCCTTGGCTCAAGGGGTTGACTCAGAGGATAAAGGCACTTGCCACCAAACATGACGACCCGAGTTCAATCCCCAGGTCCTACGTGATGGAATGAGAGGCTAACTCCTGGGAGAGAGGCGTCCTCTGGCATCCACACGCATATTGTGGCAAACACATCCCCACATGTATGCACACGGACACTTAATTATTAATTGACTAATTAGCCAGTTAATTAAAAACTTGGCTCAGTATCCCCCCTGCCTGTCCTTGGTCAGCGCCCCCTGTTCTTTTATTCTCCCCTCCCGACTGTATGAACATTTTTCTTTGAATAAATCAGCAAGAAGAGATCTCAAGTTCAAAGCCCCTTTCCCATACTCTGAGATGTCTAAGTCATGAAAATAATATGAAGAACAGAGGTGACCTTTACTTTTAATCCGTAGTCCTTGATGGATTCTGCCGTGTCTTTTCTCAAGAAAGTCAGGCTTTCTTCTCGGTTATTAAAAAAAAAAAAAAAAAAGATGCATGTTTCTGTAAAGGTATTCAGATGGTTCAGTAGGCCTGGAGGTGAGTCAGAGCCTCGGAAACTTCACTGCAGTGATAACCGGTAGTCACAGCCCAGTGAAGTACCTTAGGATTGTGTGTGCGTGTGCGTGTGTGCGTGTGCAGAGGGGCACACACATATGCTCCCAGGTATTTCTGTATAAAGATGAGATGGCGGGCTGGGGAAATGGCTGGGCGGGTGCTTCTGCAACCACGGGAGATTGTGTTCCCTCCCCAGAGCACTTGTGAGAGCAGCCTGGTGTGGTGCCGTGACTCTGTCATCCCCTCCCTGGGGAGACAGACAGGAGGACCCCTGGAGCGCTCTGGCCATCTAACCTAGCCTTCCGGGCAGGCTCCAGGCCAGTGAGAGACCCTATCTTAAAAAGCAAATAAATCAATAAAAAGCAATTGTAGACAGTGCGCGAGGGACGACACCTGAGGCTGACCTCTGACCTCACACCCACACCCTCCCATGAGCGTGTATAGCCACACACAGGAACACGTTCGCACACACGGATGAAGCAGTGGTCGGCAAGGTGTCGTCCCATTGGCCGTTCTCCCTGGTTCATATATTGTGGACAGGTCGGAGCAGCCACAGGAAACACCCCCGGCTCAGGCAGGCGCTGCACTCTCAGCGATCCTCTCTGACTCTCAGGTGAGTGTGACGAGGTGGATGATGTGGGGAGTGAGAGTGAATCTGAAAGCTGGGTGGTGGTGGCTCACACCTTTTGTCCCAGCACTCGGGGAGGCAGAGGCAGGCGCATCTCTGAGTCTGAACTCAGCCTGGTCTACAGATCTGGTTCCAGGACAGCCAAGGTTACACAGGAAAACAAAACAAAACAACTGTCTCAAAAACCTGGGGGGATAAAAGGTGGCTCTGAGAGCAGAGTCCTGCTCAGGGCAGCTGTCATAGTTGGGTGACAGAATTCATGTGCATGAGCTCTGGCTGGCCGCAGTGCGTCTGAGGGGATGGGGAAGGGCCCCCGACATCTTTAGAGAAGACCTGAACAGCTGAGGACTCCGGGCGATGATGGATTCAGGGACTTGTATCTCTGGGGAGCTGGCAAGTTGACCTCAGATCGGGAAGCCGTACTGGGTGCTGACAGGCCGCATGCCCAGGAAAGATGGATCTGGAAGCCGGAGGTGTGAGCAGGGGGCTGGAGGGAGGCCTCTGCCCGGGCTTGGGGTGACTTCAAGGAGAAGCGTGTCAGCTTCTTTCTTGGATTTATTTTTACTCAGCCTCTTTCTAAAAAGGTGTTAGCGGAGCTTTCAACAAAGGACATACGCAAAAAGGTCAGATGCTAGAAAAAGAAAAGCAGGACCAGGGAACAATTCCATCAGAGGCAGCAGGGCTGGAGCCCAAGCCCCACGGGGAAGGACTCTGCTTATCCCTGCCCCTGGGGATGAGCTGGTGAGCAAGATATGGCAGTGCCCAGGAGGGATGCAGAGCAGAGTGTCGGGCCGAGCAGAAACGCAATTCTGAGAGCCAGACTTCTCCGCGTTCTCTCCAGACCCTTCCCTCCTGAATTTTATGAACTTTGGTAAGCACATCCCTTTCCTGAACCTGGGTGTCCTCATCTGCAAGAAGGACTGAAGTAACCAGAGCCGACTGTGCGGCATGTTCCTCAGAAGGAGAACCTGGGCCCCGGGAGGGACAGGGAGGCAGACAAGATTCGGGAGGAAAAGAAGGGCGCAGGCCTGGGAAAGCTGAGACTTGCAAGATTCTCAGCGCTCTCTCGGGGGAGACTGGCCAGCCGCTGAGAGGGAGATTTTCTTGGCCCGGTGGAGCTGCCTGTAAGCTGTGCCAAGAACTCCTAGGTTGCAACTTTCTTGCGTTGTCACCAGTTTGGGGGGGGAGGGGAGCTTTTGGTGATGCAGCTGCTTTTGAATCACACCTGTTTCTGTTCCTGTCCCCTCAACCCACGCTCCTGTTAGTACCCTGCCCCCCCCCAAAACAAGCACACAAAAACCCTCACTGGTTCACCGAATTGGACTTCAGCACAATTGTTTCTTTGGTCAATCCCGGGTTTCCTCTCTGGGGTGAGGAAAGCTGTGTGTAAACTGGTCCCCTTCCTCGGAAGTCTCTCACACAACGGTTAAGGTGAGCAAACAGGACTCTGCTTCCAGGAAGTGACTTCACCTGCTGGGTGCTGGTAAGACCTGTTGGCCTCTTGGCCAAGGTCAGCTGGAGGACTTTCACGTGCACACACCACAGAGGGGAAAGGGAGACCTATGAGACCAGCCCGCCCCCCACCCCACCTCTTTAGGTGGGTCTACCCACATGCTCTCTAAAAATGGCAGCCCCTCACCTCGGCCATGTTGGATACCGAGGGCCCCTTCCTTCAGCCCAGTTGGTTAGATCAGAGGTGGCACGTGCCAGCAGCCAGCTGATGATCAGGTTGCTCAAACGGTGAGTGGGCTGGACGTACAGCAGCAGGAAGGCCGAGCAATCCGTTCTCCAGGGAGGCTGAGTCAGCGGGTGCTGGCGGCCACCACAGGAAGCTTGTGCTGCAGACATGGAGCTGAGGCCCTGCAGCCTGGCTGGGCTAAAGTTCTGAGTCAGGAGAGGAACCGTGTGGGTGGGCGACTCACAGCCGGGGCTGCTGCGAGCAGACAGGCCACGTTACCCACTGCACTTGTAACAAGTGATGACTTAGCCCCAACCTCAGGGCCCCACACGTCCCGTCCCGTGATGAGCCGGCCAGAAATTCAGGCAGACGTGCTCCACGCAGCCTCCGCTAGTGGAGGGGCCACCAAGATGGAGTCCAAGATGGAGTCCAAGATGGCTCCGCCCCCAAATCTTCTGCTGCTTTATAGGATATGGCTGAAAGGCCAGGCCCAGCTGGGATGGTCAGGGGCTACTCCCTGCCTCCTGCCACCCTCAGGAGAGCTGGGACCACCACTGAGCCGGATTCCCTTACAGACCTCCCCAGGGCACCTGAGCTGAAGTGTGCCCTGGGGAGGTCAGTTGTAAAAACAAATCCCTAAGACCAGGTTAGACTGGAGGGAGTGGGGGTCAGACTCTGCCTCTCCACAGGAGGTGTGAGGAGGGATTTCCGGTCATGACCATCTTCACCTCAGGTCAGGAGCTAGACCTTCTATGGCTGATGGTCTCAGCGCCCAGTTCTACCTTGAACCAGGAATCCCCATGTAGCACCAGAAACCATCTCTGTCACAATCCTGTCACAACTTCTGTTGGCATTTGAGAGTCTGTCCTTTCGGAGTGTGTGTGTGCAAGAAAGAGAGAGGGAGGGGGGAGGGATAAGGAGAGAGAGAGAGGCTCCAGAGAGGGGGAGTCCTCAGCTTGTTGCCTTGTGAGGCCTCAGTTTCCCCATGTGAAATATGGGCCTGGTGACTCTCCCCACCTGAGTCATTGCAACCAAGCAGCAAGGCCATCTTCTGCCACCTGCCTGCCCTCCCCGAAGTCCCCATCATGGCACCATTCAGATGTGGGCATTGCTCCATGAGCACTCACAGGAGCGTGGGTTCCCCTCACTGCTGCCCGTCCCATGTCCTCAGCAAGCACACTTGTTCTGAGGAGACCTGAGGAAGAGGCTGAAGTAAGAGTCTGCAACACACTTAGAGTCTTAGGGGCTGGAGAGATGGCTCTCCAGCCATCCCAGTGGGTGGGAGCACCGGCTGCTCTTCCAGTAGGACCTGGGTTCAATTCCCAGCACCCATGTGGCAGCTCAAAACTCTCTGTTAGTCCTTGTTCCGTGGGATTCGGCACACATACATGCAGGCAAAACACCAATGTGCATACAATTTTTTAAAATTATTCTTAATTATGCATCTGTGTGTCTGAGTGTGGGTATGTTCACATATGAGTGCAGGGACCCTACAGAGTCCAGAGGAGGGCATCAGATCCCCTGGAGCCAGAGTTCTGCGTGGTTATCATCCAGGCATTGTTTGGGAACTGACCATGGGTCCTCAGCAGGACAAGGTCTTACATCGGAGCCATCTCTCCGGAAGTGACCACACACACACACTATTTTTTTTTTAAACCTTTTATATTAAGACAAGGTCTCACTAAATTGCCCAAGTAGCCATGGCCTCACTCTGCTGTAGCCTGGACTGGCCTCAAACTTAAGATCCTCCTGCCCCAGCTTCCCAGGTTCTGGGATTACAAGCACACACCACACTCAACTAAAAGTCTCTTTTAAAAAGGGGTGTCTTTCCTGAAGCCCTGAACCCAAATCCTCTTCGATAGCCCTGTGTTTTCACAATATCCTTCTTGGTGTCAGCCTTAGTTCCATGTTTATCCCTCCCGCTAGGGAGGAGATTCTGCATCCTGACGGCAGTATTTGGCTGACATCGGTATGAACAAGGGCGACGATTCTCTTCGGGCACACAGAACACAAGTGCCCTCTGTCTAGGCCACAGTGACAGGTATCAGAGAAGTAAGGATTCCTCAGCCCAGCCCAGCACCTAGCTCCCCACCCACCAGAAGCCCAACACACGAAGGCTGGCCCCGAGTTCTAGAACACTGCATCTTTATTGATTGAAACAACCGAGTCCGCAACTAGAGGTTACATTTGGGGGTTTGTGGAAGAGAGAAGAATGGGTGGTGGGGAACAGAGGCTGGGTGGAGACAGAGAGCAAGGCAAAGGGGTGAGACATGTCACCCATGAGTAGGGGGGTCTCCTGTTGTGCTTTTACCTCAGGGTGGGCAGGGCAGAATGGACCTGGGCATGTGGAGAGGGATTGGCTCTCCTCCTGTCCAGGAGGCCCCTGGGCTGGAAGAGTCCCTTCCTGCTCTGATGACCAGGCTGCCTGGGGGGCAGGGAGCGGTCCTGCTTGGGAATGTCCTGGAGCAATCGGTTCCCCTCCTGTAGAACTAGGCTGAGGTGGGGGAAAATGGGGTGTCTGGGTGGAGGGCAGGAAGGTGCTAGGAGGGAGAGCATTTGTATCAGGGCCCCCGGGGCCATGAATGGAGGCCAAGCATGGAAGGGAGGGGAGTGGGGACAAGCAGATGCCTTCTCCCTGAAACTCAGTTTTCTCATCTGTACAGTGGGCACACCAGAGTCGATGCCTCTAAGGTCCCTCCCAGTGCTAAGGGTCAAGAGATCTCTGGAAAGGAGTGGTCCTTCTGCCCTTACACCACACACACGCACACACACACACACACACACACACACACACACACACGCACACACGCACACACACGCTTGTGCAGGACTGACAGAACAGAATGCACCCGGAATCCGAGCTCGGCCAATGGCCTGCAGGAATTCTCCAGCCCGGGTTCACGCATCACACCCCTCGGACATTCTCTGGAAACATCCCTCTAAAGCCCCATGGAGCTGTTCAAGCAGAAGACAACCGAAGGACACTGCATGTCCTCTCCAGCCTTCCTGGCCCCGGGGAGGATGAGGATGAGGAGGACAATGGCATCTGCTGGTCTTGGTTGCAGACAGCAGTGAGCAGTGGGGGAAACAAAGTCTCCTCTGTCTGGAGCCTGGGGGGAGGAGCAGCGGCTGTGGCCAGTGTTGACAGGGAAAGACACCCTCCATGTGGCATCCGTGCTGTCCTCGGGCTCGGAGCATCTGTGGCCCGGGGGGAGAAGCCAGAACAGGACAGGAAGATGGCTTCTCTCTCAAAAAGATCCGAGCAACACCTGTCACGCGTGTAGCAGGCCCAGCTGCAGCGACAGCACCCAGACAGCGGTCAGTTCCACTTCGCTGCCTGTGGCTATCCTGTAAGGGGTTCCCAGGAGCGGCGGCAGGGGGTACAACATCCCAGCGATGCAGCACTAGGCTTCCAAGACTTGAGCTAGCCCGGGCCCATCTTCATTCCAGCTTCTGCATTTGTGCCATGAAGAAGCCTGCATTTCTGAGGCTCGTCCTGGCTCTGCTGGCTTGGACAGGTGCTTCCGGGGAACAGGAGATAGATGGTGAATGGGAAAGAGGGAAGGATGGGAGGGGCAGGCTTTGTCTTCGGATGAAGGATGCTTCCCCGGGCACTACCTGTGGTCCCAGGCGCAGGACAACCAAGCTGAGGCTACCCATCGGTTGCTATTCAGTACCTGGTCCCAGAATCCCTTTCTCCCAGCACCCTGGACATCAACCTTCAGGGGCCAGCAGTAAAAGAGCCCCAGAACCCTGAGAGCTTGACTCTGGGGCCCTTGTTTTAAGGCCACAGTTTTCCTCAGTTCCGTCATCACAGAGGGTGAGGGTGCCACTGAAGAGACGCCATGGATCCCACCAGCCTGGTCTCCTATCGCAACTCTGACCCACAGGGATACATACAGGAATGCTGATTCACAGGCATCCACGTGCAAAAGCTCCTGCCCCGCAGTTAGACCCTCAGTCCTGCACACGTCTAAATGCTTCTGGCGCAGGCAAACACGCACACCTCACAGCCCCTGCACACCGTGGGCACACGCGCGTGCGCACACACACACACGCACACACACACACACACACACACACACACCCTAGCCTTACCCACTTGCACACAACGGTGGGTGTCTTAGACAGGCCACACACCCTTAGGCATGGCTGCCCTCACTACGGAGAAGGTTCAGGGATGAGATGGGCCAACACACACCGTGTACTTTTCCTGTGTCTAGCCCTGGGATACAGAGGAGTCCGCACCGACGGGGGACCGATGTGCAGGAGCAGGCTTAGGGTAGGATGGGAACCCTCGGAGGACAGAACGGGGCTGTTTCTCTAGCACAGCCCTGGCTCAGAGGCCCTGGAGTTGAGAGGACCCCAGCTTCCCCTCTCAGGTTGTCCTAAGGGGCTTCTTAATGCTTCTAATACAGGCTGCACCCCGATACCATCAACTCACACCCTGACACCCAGGCAGGTGGGTTCTATAGGCAGGGGTCACTGGCTTATGGAACCCATTCCACCAGGTTTTTGTCCTTGTCTGCCCCCTCACGCCTGAGAGAATGAAGAAGGGGCTCGGGGGCAGGGCTCACGGTCTAGCTGGGACCACGGACTCGACACAGATGGGACAGTTAAGGAGTAATGTACCCCGTAGGTGCCATGGATGCGTGTTCTGGAAGCCAGAGCAACTCACTTCAGACAGGCCTTGAAGGTCCACACTGGTTGGGTACCAGGAGGCCCAGCTGTAGCCTGGCCCGACCACTCACAGCCGATGATGACGGTGATGGTGATGGTGGTGACGGTGATGATGATGATGATAACAATGAAGATACAGACCAGGCGGGACTTGGGGCCTGGGCTGCAAGGGTCTTGATCCTCAATGTGCCTGTTTCCCGCAAATGTACTGGGAAGAGCCCGGGGCCACGCCTCCAGCCAAGGGGCCAGCCTTCAAGAGGGTCCTCTGTGAGGTCTCTGTCATCCTCCAGGAATGAAGGACTGCAGCAGGCACACAGGACCAGCTCCCCACGTCATCACGATGAAAGATGCACGCTGACACTCAGGGACTGGACTCTCGCCTAGCCTCATATTTCCCACACACCCTCGTTCGGTGCTGTGCACAGTGGTACACAGACACAGATGGGCACACACGCTCTTACCCAGAGACGCGCACACACACACAGACACACACACACACACACACAGACACACTCGAACACGGAAACACAGACATACCACACGAGTTTGTGCATGCACACAAACTCATCCCAGAAGGGGTTAGGATTCCGCTCTTCCATGGAAGCTAGGTAGCCGGTAAGGGGGACCGGAGAGGGAAGTTCTAGAGCCTAGTCCATCAACGTCGAGCTCCAAGGACAAAGATCCCTTCCCAGCTCCCAGGGAACAAGGAGACCCAACAGCCTCCATCCATCACTCCCGTGCTCCACAGGGCTGGCGGGACAGTGTCCTACCCTCCCCGGCCCCCTCTTCCAGAACTCCCTGTCTGACTAAACGCCTAAGAAATGAGGAGGGGGGGCGCTCCATCCCACTCACGAGCTCATTGTTCTCTGAGGGGACACGGGGTCGCAGAGGCAGGACCCCGTGCTCCTCTCAAAGCCAGGGCTGACCCGGGAAAACAGCGGGGAAGCTGCCCCTGACACCAGGCTCTCCCCGGAAGTCCCCAGCTGGTGCTGTCTGGAGTGGCGTCGAAGCTGCTGATCGGAGCGGGGGCAGGACGTGGGGAGCAGCCTTCACAATGCACATCCCTAAGCCCTGTGCTGGGGCCCTCCGACTGGGCAGGGAGGAGAGGGGAGCGTGACATCCCAGGAACAGGTGTGTGGGGGGGGTCTGAGTTGACTGGCTGGCTTCTCCACCATCCACTCTCCATCCTGCGGACAGCTACCCGCAGCGGGTGCCCCTTCCTCGTCAGCCTCTGAACAAGGGACACTCTGAGCGACCCCCGAGGCTTGCCTCTAAACCCCGAGACCTCCGTCCAGGCAGCCCAAGTCTGATGTGCCTGCCCACATCTGGCTCCCTTCCGGCAAGCCTCTGGGCTGGAGTTCGGCCTCGAGTCAGGGGACAGGGCGAGGTCAGGAACAGTGCAGTGCAGCCAAGAGGAGGCCTGTGTCACACCAAGGTCCCTGGAGCTGGCGGACGCCGTTCAGAAGGTCCCCTGTCTCCATAGTAAAAAAGTTGCCGGCAGGTCAAGTAGAAACTTGTGCTTTAATATCTCTGTGTGTGTGAGTGTGGGTGAGTGTGGGTGAGTGTGTGCGTGTTCGTGTGCGTGTGTGTTGGACAACCATCAGAGCCTGGCCTGGCCTCTGTCCGTGTTCTCCGCTCATCCTCGCAGCCAATGAAGGCCCCCTCCCTGGCGGGCCGGCCCCGCCCCTGGGCACCCCGGCTGGCAGGGGTCAGTCTTTGGTACGATGTGGACACTTTGGTGTGCCGGGGGGCAGGGTGGGGTGGGGGTGGGGCCCACGCAGCTCTCATCATCTCTGCAACGCCAAGAGGAGCATGGCCAGGGACCCCCAGGGCTGCAGGCTGGACAGGCGGGGGGCGCCGCTGCCTGGCATCACCACCACTGTGACGGAAGACAGACAAGAAAGAGGCCAGGGCTCTGGTTAGCTCCCTCATGGACGGGGAGGGACACGAGGCCCTGGGAGGCCTCGATCCTGATCCTCATGACTGATTCACCTCTTCAGGGGGTGAAGGAAGCCTGAAGGTGGGAGTCTGCACAGTTCACACGGACACACGTGCAGTTCGTGTTTACTGAGATACGGAGCAAAGGGCTTGAGCTCAGTGGGCCTCCGTTTCTTTATCTACAGAATGGGTCTAATAGTATTGGACACCCCTAGGAGCTGCCAGGAGCATTGAGTTGAGCCTGCTGTGCAGGTTTCTGTCTGTCGCCTGGTACAGTCATTGCTCAGTCCACTGGAGCTGTTGGCATGGGAAACACCCGGGCCACAGGTACATACTACAGACATCCCAGTAAGCTTAGGGGAGGCAGGGCCAGTGGCTTCTTTCCTCATGGCCTGAGTGGGGATGGGTACTCATTCGCAGTCAGACACACAGTTCTCAGGGTCATAGGCAGCCTAAGCCCCTCTCTTCCGGCCCCCACCTTCTCCCAGGATTCCCCAACCCACTTCCAGACACATACCTTTGTTGGGATCCATCTGCCTCCTGGGACACTCTCCCTTCTTCAGTGTGACATCATCTATGGCAATATCCCCCAGGTAGCCCGAGCCTCGAACCCCCTCAAAAATAATCTGGGGTGGAGTCAGAGAGCAGGGGGAGGGGTTGGGGAAGTTGGGCCTGGCACCAGGGCCTCCCCACGCCTTCACCTCGGGCTACCTGGAAGGCCCTCTGCCCTGCCTTGGCACCCCCCACCCCACCCCACCCCAGGAACCTGCACAGGACCTCCCTGAGACCTTCCGGCCAGGACAGCCACCTGCCTTAGAAACGGTCCTCACCCAGGACTCACCTGGAAGGGCCCGCTGGGGTTGATGGGCACCTGGGCCTGTTGCCACACATTGCCCTTGTTGCCACTGAGGGACCAGGCATGCGTGTCTACAGCGCCTTTGTTCCTGGACCGCACCAGAAGGTTGAGGGAGCCTGTGGCAAGAGAAGGGAGAGCATGGTGAGGTTGTGACGACAGCCCTGCCTTCCCGTCTTCCCCAAGCCAGCCTCTCCCTCCCTCACCACTGCCCACAGCACTACCCTGCCGGCCGGGACCTGTTGCTGTCCCCAGACCAGCTCAGAGCGTTCCTTCCTTTTGTCCTTTCTTTTTCCACGTAACCAAAGAATCAGGCCTGGCACAAAACACATGCCACCATCCCCAATGAGGGGGTGAAAGGATCCCAGAACGCCTCACCTCAGCTCAAGTCAGGATTCCCAGAGCACAAGCACATGGCTTCTGGGGTGCAGAAAGAAACTTACCATTTTTATCTGTATAGTTTTAAAAATTATATATATATATATTCATTTTTTACTTATTCATGTGTGTGTGTGTTTGTGTGTGCGTGCATGCGCTCACACATACACATGTCTATGGAGGCCAAAGGAGACCAGTGGGTCCACAGGAACTGGAGTGACATCGTTACAAACCGACTGACATGGTGCCGGGAACCAAACTCAAGGCTCTCCAAGAACAGAAAGTGCTCTCAACCTCGGAGCCATCGCCTGTATTTTTACTTTTTATTTATTTATTTATCAGAGGAGAAAGGCATGCACATGCCATGGTGTGTGCGTGTGTGTGCACGCAGCTCACTGATTGACAGCTGGCTGGCCAGCAAGCCTCTGGGATTTGCCTGTCTTGGTCTCCACCTCCCAACCCCCATCAGGTTACAGCTGTGCACTGCTGCTTGGCTACGTGGGGGCTGAGGATCTGAACTCAGGTCCCCATGCTTGAGTGGCACACGCTTCATCCGCTGAGCCAGCTCCTTCTCTGGATGTCTTAGGCTTTGGCTAGAGCCGGCCTTCACAGCCATGCTCTAATGCTGATGCTAGGACAAAGCTTAAAAAAGAACCAACGCTGAAACACAGAACGAGTTTATTTGAGGACATAAACCCCGGGGGCGACTTGGCTATGGTGAATCCAGTCAGGGTTAAGATTTGGGGGGTGTGGGGGCACTAGCCTAGGGGCGCTGAACCCATCTGCTGCGGATCAGGAATCCTAGTTTCTGTGAGGGGCACTAGGGGAGGAGCGGGCTGTGGCTTTAGTGGAAGGTGCTGCCTTTCAATCCGCCTCCGTCACTCCCTGGCTCTGCAGGAAAGAAAATCCATCTTCAGAGGCGCCCGGTGGCTGGCATTTCCATGGCGTTGCCCGAAGACAAAGCTGCACCATCTGCAACACCAGTTAGACAGACATTCCCTCCCTCCCGCTGGGGGGAGGGTCACCAAATGTTACCTGCCTTGGATGAAAGGAGTTGGCTGGGACCAGGAGAGCCGACGAGACACGGAGTTTAGGGACAGCTGGTGCCCAGAGCTGCCAGGCATGGTGGGAGGGGGTTACACAGCAGAGGGGGGCCTGGCGGACGAGCTGAAGGCTCAAGGCGAGCAGGGGCTCAACAGCCAGGGATGGGCCCTTCAGGGAGCAGCCACCTGTGGGCCCAGGCCCAACGCTCCTCAGGGCCCTTACAAGCCCCCAAGTACAAAACAATTCTGAGTTTAGCTCGGGCTGAAACCCCGTCTTGAAGACAATTTTTAGAAAAGATTTATTAATTTTTTTTTTATCGTATACACATGAGCGTTAGCCTGCATGTATATACGTGTGTGTCTGGTGCTAACAGAGGTCAGAAGAGGGCATCAGATGCCCCAAGACAGGAGTTACAGACCTTTTTGAGATGTTATATGGTTGCCAGGAATTGAATCCAGGTCCTCCTCAAGAACAGCGAGTTTTGTTTTTGTTTTTGTTTTTGTTTTTTTTTTTTCAAGTGCTAAGCCATCTCCCTAGAGAAGTCAGTGAGCGCCAGGTTCAATGAGAGATCCTTTCTCAAAATTTATGGTTGTGTAGGTGTGGTGGCACACGCCTGGCCTGCGGAAGGCAGAGGCAGCTGGATCTCTGCGAGTCCCAGACCAGCCTGGTCTATACAGTGAGCTCGAGGCCAACCGGGGTTGTACAGAAAGACCTTCTCTCAAAACGATGTAAGTAAGGTGGACCTTGATAAAGGAACGATGTCTGAGGCTGACCTCTGAACAACACACCCAGGCACCTTGGAGCCTACAGACTTGCACAACTCCCGGTCCCATACGCACACATAAGGAAAGGAAAAAGTGAGATGAGGAAAAGAAAGTACAGGTGCGTTCGACGGGAAAGTGAAGGGTTGCCCCTGGCAGCAAACAAGACCAGAGGCAGGGTAGAGCTGAGTATTGCTGGGGCGGGGTGGCAGGGGAGAGCTGAAGACGGTGACAAGAAAGGCCAGAGGGCCCTGAGTAGAGGAGTAACATGAATCTGGGATGAAGTCTCTCCACAGCTGAATAGTTCTACCTGGAGGGGGGGGCAGAGGTGGGAGAGTAAGGGGGACCAGGATGCCTTTCGACTCTGGAATAGCTCACACCTGTGCCGCAGGTCTGACGATGAGACCCCTCAGGCGGCCTCAAAGCTGCCTCCTGAGAGCTTTACTGCCCAGTTCCACCGCTGGGGAGCTCAGAGCAAGATCTGTGTGTCACAGAGACGGTCCCCTCAAGCTTCCTGCCCCCTCATTCCCCAGGCTCTCACGCCCTCTGTTCCTCCCGACACCTGGATGCCCAGGACCGCTCACTCCAAGCTGACAGCCACACACCAGCTCCATATTTCCCCGGGACTGGGGTGACTCAACACCATGACTGGGAAAGCCAGAATGGGCTGACTGCTGTGAAACTAAAGGGACACAGGGCGTCAGTGTCACCCACCTTTCTCACCCCAGGGGAGACTCTGGGAGAGTCCAGACCCACAGCGCTGGTCTGCATCAATGGTTGGGGGCAGAATGTCCTATCCCACCCCATCCTGGCTCATCCGTCAGGGATGGCCCCTTCCCCCTCACAGTGGAGACTTCTCTGGGGTGAGCCTGAGGACTGTGCAGAGGTGGAGGGGAGGGGACCATGCAAGGATGGTGAAGAAGCTTCCATGGACTGATAAGGAGGAATTGCCAAGATGATAGATGGTCCAGAGGGAAAAGGTGAGTATAAAAACAGAGTATAAAATGGTGGGGAGAGAGGCGCCGCCACACACTGCCTCCTGCAGAGGTGGAGAGACCAGGAAGAGCGGGAGGTATTTACTGTGTAATCTTTTATAACTTTCACTCCCTGTAAAACACATTAGCTCTCCTGTAGGTAAAACAAAACAAAACAAAACAAACAAAAAACAAATAAACCACTTTTTCTTTCCCCCTAAAGACAGGGGCTCACTATGCAGTCCTGGCTGGCTCAGAACTGGCTATGTAGACCAGGCTGGCCTCAAACTGACCCCTGCCTCCTGAGTGCTGGGATCAGAGGCATGCACTGCCACACCCAGCATAAACAGCACATTAGACAACATTCGTGTTCTCAGCAGTCTCCCCCAGACCGGCCTCTGCAGCCTCTGTTTTCCTTGTCCTCCGCTGCCTTGGTGCCGCCCTGCCATTACCACAGTGGTCACTAACTCCCATCGGACGCCATTAGCTGTCGTATGGGGACTTGCCTGTCTCCTGCATCGAAGCTGTCTTGGGGAAAGGCTTATAGTAACCTCTCTGAACGATACGGACCCAGGACCTGGCAAGCAGCGTATCCACAACCAAAACAGCTACGTTATGTTTCCCGTCCTCGGCTTGCCCACCCCCACTCCCAGCTTAGCCAACGGGGGAAGCTTAGGTCTCCTTGGGGAGTCTAGAGCCTCCTTGTGGCCCCCTTGTCCTCCCCAGCCAGCTCGCACAGTCAGACCTTACGGTCTCCAACTCACCGATGTGTTTCCCGTACATGTGGTAGAAGAAAGAGACGCAGTAGAACTTGGCGCTGGCATTGTACACGGGGCTCACCAGCCTTGCCCGGTCCCCCAGCTCCCGGGGTCTGGAGGTCTCAATGAACATGTAGTAGCCTGTGGCGGAGGTGGGGGTGTGCTAGGAGCCTCTCCTCGGGGCCACCCAGCCTCCGTACAGCTGATTTCCTCCCTGCTGGGTCTTCAGGCCTAGCATGAGCTACTGAAGCCCGGTCCTCCCTGAGGCTCCTCTGCTCAGCGTTCAGAAGTGCCCGGCTCTACAATTTCTTCTCTTCTGATCTTCAACCAGGGCACAGTTCTGTCTCCCTCAGACTGGGGCTCCCTAAGGACCGGGCATGTCTCCCTCAGAGGGTCCCTAAGGATTGCTTGTGTCTCCCTCCTCTCTCAGCCTGGGGGTCCATAGACCTAGACTCCTCCCAGGGGCTACCCTCTCTATTCCTAAAAGACAGCCCGTGTCCTCACCTTCAGGGGTGCCGCTGATGTCGGTAGGGGGACCGGTATTGGGAGAGCGCTTGGGATTCTGGGTAAGAGCATTCTGCCTTGTCCAGTCAAAGTTGTCTGTCAGATCCTGGGTGTAGCCACAGATCTTCTCGTCCTCAAAGTGACAGGTGTTGTCTGTGTCGAGGGCACAGGTCAAAGAGGCCCAGCTTTAGCCTCTTTTGTCTATCCTTGTCCTCCCCTTCACCTCCCTAAGTCAACTTTAAATAATCTAAACAGTGGTCCAGGGCTTCAGGGCCACAGAGACCAGGAAGTGGGGTCTGGGACACATTTATTCCAGAAGAAGATTTTGTGCCACAGCCTTCTGGTTTAACGCCGCCTTCCAGAATAACGATTCTAGACACATACAATAAAATGCACAGGGACCTCAAAGGAAATCAATTATATTGAATACAGTTGTCAAAATATCCTTGTACTCTCTTATATAATAACAGGGGCTTCTTTATTATATAATTAAATCACGATATCCAGCATTAGGTCTAATAACTACTGTGGTTCTGAAACACTAATGAATGAAAGTGACATTTACAGGTATCCGCAACAACTGTAAGGCGGTGGGGAACAACTGTGAGGCTGGTTATCTGCAGATGACAAAGTGGCAGCAGGTAGTGATTATTCTAGCGTGGTCTGTTGTCTACAGCCATCATTAAAGCGCACGTTAAAATTCTGTCAGAAATAACGGCGCGCCTCCCGAGTGCTAACCCCCTTGAGTTCTAGAAGAGGTCCTTGGCAGGTAGCATCCCTGCCTGCTCCCTCTCTTCCCTGAGTTGCTCTCTGTTTAGGGAATTTAGGGATGAAATTACGACAGCCCGGCTTTTCCATTCCTTTGGCAGACAGTGGCTCCCCACCTCCCCAGCGTCCAGTCTTTAAGCCCCAGGATACACTGTGGTTGTAAGCTGCTCTGGCCCTCCCCCATCGCTGGCCCTTCTCCATGGGAACACAGGAAGAAGTCATTTTTCTCTCTGGGTATCTCTCAAGGTCCCTGTGTCCCATCAGGAGACTCTGTGTCCCTAAAGAGTAAGGGAAGTTTTAGGACTGGGCTCTCACCTGACAGGTTGGGCGAGTTGATGGCTGAAAAAAAGCAAGCAAGGGAACCAAGTCAGAATTGGGGTGTATGGCTGGGCAAAGTGTGCCCAGGCTGGGGAGGGGGACAAGAGGGAAGGGTCTTTGAAGCCAGGACAGAGGACCCAGTAGGCCAGGCCTGCAATGACGGGGTAAGTGTACAGAGTGGGATGCTCCAAGTTCAAGGGCTGCGTCGGAAGGCCCACCCCTCCTGCCGCCGCCGCCGCCGCCGCCTCCGTCACCTACGCTCTGTGTAGTGGATGATTCTGGAAGCCATGTCGCCAGCCCCAAAGGTGGTGTAGGGTGTGAGGCGGATCTCATAGCTGTGAGGCACACGGAGATCTGTCAGGATGTATTCCAGCAGCTGCCCCTTCTCCACGTGCCGTACGGGGATGGCCTTCACCAAGGCATTGTGCTGGTTCAGCTGTGGAGACAGGGGAGTTCCCACATGCCCTGGAACCTCCACTGGAAGGGGAGCCCAGGCCCCGGAACGCTTCCGGGCAGCACAAAGAGCAAAGGTGGGCGACATCAAGCCTTCGCTTTTCCCCTCTCTTGAGATGGAACAGTTTTCTGATCCAGGGACCCTCCTGGCACTGTCGCCATGCTAACAATGCATGGGGACAATTAGCATGTCCCTGGGCACTATGAAGTGCTCAGGCATCACCAACTCGTGATATTCAAAACAACAATCTTCTGAGATGAAACAGTAACACTGTCTCACTTCACGGATAAGCCAGTGAGGGTTAAGACAGGTGTAAACTTGCCCACACTCTTCGGAAGCTAGCTTTGCCCCTCTCTAGGCCCTGTCCCCAAGGGCCACAGTCTTCCCCTCCCACTACGGCCCCTTGGGCAGAGCAGGACCTCATGGATTGGACCAGGCAGGCATGAGAGCAGCTTTGTGTCATAGAGCCCTCGCCCTCAGCCCTGAACACCAGAGTAGACGCCCATTCTCTGAGCCATACTGGCCTTGGCTGGGACCCAACTGCCTGTGTCTGCTTCCCGGGTGTGTCCAGGGACAGTATGGAGGACAAAGATGGATGCTGGGGGGGGGGGGCTCCCGGCTCTGGCTGCCACATCCCGACTCTTCCTCTGCCTCAGAAAAGTTGTCTAGACAGAACGGACTATGTCTGGGAACTCTTCCCCCGACCCTATTTCTGGGACCCGCCACCATACCATGCCCCCATTGCCTCACGCCCTGGGCCTACCTGGCGGACGCTGAGCCTGTAGTTGAGTACAGGGTCCACAGCGTCCGGCTCCCTCTGCGTCCACTGAAGCACATAGGAGTAGTTCTTGGACAGCTTGTGGCTGCGGGTGGGGTTGGGGGTGTCGAAGTAAAACTCCGGGCTGTAGGCTTTGGCTGAGAGGGCGGGGAGGGGGGGCATGGGCCGTGGAGGGGGATGGGAGGAGAGAGGAGCCATGGAAAAGAGGGACAGAGGTGGGGGCAACAAAGAGAAAGGGGTGTCGTAAGGAGAGTTGGCATTGGGAGGAGAGGGGATGGGGAGGGTAGAGGTGAGGCGTGGGGCGGAGAGGGAGGGCAGAGATGGAGGGGGCGGATTGTAAGTTCCAAGAGGGGTTGTTGGTGAGAACAGAGAGAAAGGCCAAAGAAGAAACAGAGAAAGGTCGGTAAGGGCGAGGGTCAGGTATATAGAGAGGAAAGAAAGAAGAAAGATGGGTGGAGGTCAAAAGGTCAAAAGGAAAATGGGAGAACAGGGGCGAAGGGGCGGAAGTGGGAAATGTCATAGGGGCCTCTGGCTGGCGAAGTTGAGTGGGTGGGGAGGCGGCCATGACCTGCAGCCCTCTCTCCTGCTGAGGGGATCTGGTGTATGAGTTGAAGGGGGCACCCAGTGCCTGGGGGGGTCTATTTGGAAGGCTGGGGGTACCAGGCAATAGGGAAACAGGTTCCCCCGCCCTCAGGCACACACAGATCTGGCAGGTAGCCTGTCTACTGCCCTTGGCCCTCTCAGCAACCCCCACCAGGCCTTACTGCCTGTGTCCCATGCTGGCCTGTCTGCAGCCCTGTTGGCTCATGGGAAGAAGCCTGACGCAAAAGATAGGTAGAGAGGGGTGTTTGAGCACCTGACAGCCTGTGCCTCTAAGGTGGCAACTAGGGGAAGATTATGTTCTGGCTACCCCTGCCTCATGTCCAGGGGCGTTTTTGCTCTCCTACAAACTACAAGCTGGGTACCCAATAGTTTTCCCCATCCGCAGCCTCTGAGGCCAAGGACCAAGGAGGAAAGGCTGGAGTTGAGATGGGACTAGGACCAAATTTTGAGTGTGGGTGGAGGCTAGAGGGACAAAAGCACAGGGCTGGAGTTGGATGAGGCTGAAGGGGCCAAACGTTCGTGATCGCCTGCAGAGGCCGGCTTTGAACCCAGAGAATCAGGAGAAAATCAGGAACAGGGGCGGAGGAGCTTGGTCTCCAGGGGGCTGGGCCCTCAAGAGGATGGCCAGAGATTGGACCTGGGCTCCACGGGGCGGGGCCTACACCTGGCGTGGGCAGGTCTTAGAAGGACGGAGGCCCAAGACTGCCAAAGTAGGAAGGAAAGAGCAGCCTAGCCAGGTGTGGCAGGGCCAAGCGGGTAGGGGATGGAGGATAAGGCGTGGAGGAGGTGAGGGTAGGGATGGAGGGCGGAGCTTGGTCCCAGGTGGGCGGGGGCGGGGCCGACCGGAAGCTCACCGGAGACCTGGAAGAGGCAGGCGGCTGAGCCCACGTCGTTGGAGACGCTGCACTCGTAGCTGCCGCTGGTGTCACGGGTCAGGGCGTCCAGGCGCAGCTCGGCGTGATCAGGGGCCTCGGCGGCGGCGGCGGGAACAACAGGCGGCGGGGGCAGCAGCTGCCCCCTGAAGCGCCACACGGCCGAGGCGATGCGCTGGGGGCTGCCTCGCAGGAGCGAGCAGCGCAGGAGCACAGGCCGGCCCAGCGCCTGGCGCACGTCCTGGGAACTGGGCTCCACCTCTGGCGGGACTGGGGACCGGGGCTGCCGTCAGTAGGCCCGTGGAGGCGGCGGCTCATTTGTCCCCCATTCCCGTGACCCTGGCCTGGGAGGAGGGAAAGCCTACACACACTCTCGCCAACTCATTCGTCCAACAGCCACGCTTCCTAGACTGGGCCCCTGGCCGTGCCTCAGTGGGTCCCTGGACCAGCACATAAGGAAACACGGCACGGCCACAGAGCTCGGACCACGGTCTCTAGACCTGTTCAAATCCCAGTCCTGCTGTTCAAACTGCGGCAGATCGCTGGACTTCCCGGCGCTTGGGCGGGGGGATCGTCAAGGAGGGTTTAGGTGTGGGTGGAGGGCTGGGGTGGGCCTAGGCTAGGTGTCTGGGGAGGGGACTCACAGTGTACCGTCAGCTGCACCTGAGCCTCCCGGGGTCGGATGTTGAAGCCGTTGTAGCGAGCGGTCTGGCAGCGGTAGGTGCCGCTCATGTCGCGGCTCACGCGCTCCAGCCGCAGCTTCCCATCCGGGGTCTCTTCCAGGGCCAGCCCCGAGGGCAGCAGGGCGGCCTCCTTGTCCACACGAGACCACAGCACCGGCGGCCGGGGCTTGCCCCGCACTTCGCACTGGAGCTCAGCAGGAGAGCCCTCTCGCACCGTCACCACCGCGCGGCCCTTGGGCACGCTGATGGTGGGCGGCACTGGAGGAAGGTGGAGAGGAAGGGAAGGAGTTAGGGATCCCCCAGCCTCTGCACTTGGGGCTCTGCCTTCCCCCCTTTCTCCAGTCAGGGTAGCCTTGAACTTACTATGTAGCCGAGGCTAGCTTTGAACTTATCCTCCTGCTTCAGACTCATGAGCGCTTTTAACCTGTCCCTTAGGCCCAGCCCCTCAACTCCTGGACCTTCAGCGTTTCTTAGAGATGGATTTTTATATTTATTTATGTGTATATATGCATGTGTACTCACACACGCATGCATGGCCCAAGGAAGCCAGAAGAGGGCACCGGATCCCCGGAAGTGGAGTTACAGGGCGTCCGGAAGCACCCCGGATTTCCAACGAGGATGCTGGGAATCGAACTCCCGTCCTCTACAAGAGCAGCAAGTACCCTCATCCACCGAGCCATCTCTCCAGCACCACGACAGCTTGTCTTGCACGTTAGTCTATCTCCCAATAGTTTGTAACCTTTCTTCCAAATAAGGATACCTGGTTTCGGCAGGGCGCGTGCTCGTGCCACACAGAGTAAGAACTACATTTCCCAGCATGCCTCTGAAAATGCTGGCCCGTGAGACATTAAGGAAAATAAAGGTCTTCCTGCAGGTCAGAATGCTGATCGCTGGGGGCAGGTGGAACTGCCATGACGGAGGAGATGACAAGCTGGTGGCACCTAGAGTCCTGAGGGCTTGCGGGGACCATCAACACCAGCGTGCTCACGAGCTGACTTCTACGAGATTGCTCAACACAGACCTAACCTGTGTGCAGCGCCCAGGGTGGCGCCCAGCGCCTTCCGCATGCTCAGCCGGTGGCTCTGCTGCTGAGCCACACCCCAGCGTTTAGATCCCTGCTAATTAGGGCTCTGTTATTCACAGCCGAACCCACTCCACCCCAACACACTGCCAAATGGGGGGTTTTTTTTTAGAAGACCTCCCTGGGTCTCGGCCCACATTAAACGCTTCATCATTAAATGTCAAGTATTGAACATTAAGTATAATTAAATACAAAGCGATTATTTGTAAATAACTATACAGACCAGGCGAAGGTCCAGTTATCTAGTTTTTATAATTGCACGCTGCCAACATTTGTGCATCTATTGGCTTTCACTTCATGGCCTTCTCTTCCTGTTTTGGAACCAGGTTTAAATTGTCTCCAGAGGCTTTCACGAGGGCTTCTGTGCTCCAGGCACCAGGCCTGTCAGCCAAAAGTGGAAGCAGCCCTAGGCCTTTTCCCTCAATCAGAATCTTTCCGCCCCCTCCCCCAGCCCTCTAGGCACCACAGGATGAAGAGATGACCCCACCTCTGACCATGTGCCTTCAGGTTAAAGCTCTATACTTGGGTTCCTTCGCTAGTGTCTCCTTTACAGACTCCTCCTTTGCCTCCCAGGTAAGAGCTCCAGTGTTTCCCCTACCCTCTCCCTTCTCCTAACAGTCCTTGCCCCCCCCCTCCCTAGGTCTCAATGGAGCTCCCTATGCGCAGACGCCGAGACAGAAGGGGCCTCTAGGGTCACTGGGTCAGATTGCCCACCAAGAGAAATGGCTTAGGGGCCAAAGGAGGAAATACGATCAGTTGTCATCGTACTGCTTGGTCATGTCTGTGGTTTCTATAGAAGGTCAATTAGGGATCTCCCCCAATCCGATCTAGGACACAAGGAGAAGATGCCACTAGCCCTCCAGGGAGCCCAACCTTGCCGGCACCTTGACCTCAGAGCTCCAGCCTCCCCGGCTGAGAGGTCCCCAGGGTGGCCTTTCAGAGCTCGTACCACCCCACTCTCCCAGGCCATTGTCCCTCTTCCATCCTCCGGATGGCCAGCGTGCTCTCCATGCTCTCCCGACTCAGTGACTTTGCATTTGCTGATTCTGTGGCCTCCGTTGCTCTCTTTTGCTTAGCAAAATCTTGCTCCTCCCTCGGATCTCATTCAAATGACAGTTGGCAGCGACACGTTTATTTGTGAGCTATCTGAAATGGGTTCATCTTCCTACCAAATTCCATGAACACGGCATCTATTTTCCCCATCCCTCTACCCCCAAAGCCTGTCACAGGGCCTTCTATGACAGGGACTCATGTGTGTGTGTGTGTGCGCGCTATGACAAATGGTACCCTCCTTCCTCTAGACACCTATTGGCAAACCACTGTTTGTCTATCCATCCACCCCCTCCCCAAGCCTGTCCTCCTTTCCTCCTCTCTGCAGCTTCCCCAGGACTCCCACCTGTCTCAGAAGAGATGTTGACCTCTATGCTGAGGTCAGGCACGGGCGATCCCGGGAAGGACGCCAGGCACAGATAGGTGCCGTAGTCACTGAAGTGCAGGTCAATGAGCTCCAGGCTGCTGGTGACAGCGGGCAGCTCGGGGTCATTCCGGGTCACCAGCAGCCGCTTGGACACGCGTGCCGGCTTGCCGTTTTTGAACCACTGGTAGTTAACCTTCTCCTGGGGCACCGCATCCACGTGGCATGACAGCTTCAGGTCCTGACCCAGCTGAATGTTCTCGCTCTCTTTGATCACATCCGGGGTGATCTGGAACGTGGCGTTCCTCAAGGCTGCAAGGAGATGGGAAGTAAAGAAGGGCTGGGGCTGGCCCAAGGACAGGTATCCACGAGCTGCCCCAGCTTCTCCCCTCACACTGGCTGCACCCCTGTGCGAGCGTGCAAACACACACACACACACACACACACACACACACACACACACACTTCCCTCAGCCTAGAAATGGCTCCAATGGCTCAGAGATGTTTTGAACAGCATTAAAGAGCTCAGTGCAGGGAAGGGAGGCTGGTGATGACTGCAGGCATTATTAACGAGCATGCTCCATCAGTGAGATGTGCTGGCCCAGGCATCATATACATCAGCGCATCTGGCCTGTCCCACAGTCACTGAGGGAGGCCCCTCCTAGGTATTCCTTATAACAGGGGGAACTGGGGTTCAGCCAGTCTAACTTACACCCTCAGAGCCTTCTTGGCCACTGATTTGTTCTCATTCGTGTTTTAAAACCTTGTGCATGCAAAGTACTGATTCAGAAGGAAACACGAGCCTTGATAGTGGCTCCATGTAGCACGAATTCAAAGGAAACTGAAGAGCAATTAATTGTGCTTTTCCTCCCTTTCGTACTGTTTGACTCTTCATCACATGATAAAAAGCCAACATGATGATCCTGCATTGACGCCACAGGGTTTAGGAAACCAAGGGTCTGGGTGCTTTGTAAAATGTGGGTCTCATTTGAAGTCAGTTAGAGCCCTTAACAGGTGAGGCGTTGACTCTGCAGAACACTGGCACAGCGGCATGGAGATCAGGACTGGGCTGGACAAGGCAGGCTGCAGAGTCAGCCCGGGAGGTGACCACAGCTCCCGAAAGCTTTCACCAGCCTATGTTTAAAAGGTCAAGTGGGATCAGATAGACAGCTCATCTTTGCTGGGAAATGTGCTCTGGAAGAGAAGCTGTGGCCAGAGGGCTGTCATCTTGTTACTTTATTTCTCAGTCCAAGTCTGAGGGAGGCCCCTTCTTGCTGGGAGGAGACTTGGAAAGAGCCTGACCCAGCAGGGAGAGACAAGCATAGAAGCTAGTCAGAATCCTCAGAGGCTCAGTCACATTTGTACTTTACTTTCAAGGCTGAGGAACTGGAATAAGCCTGGGTCTTTTGTCTGTTTAAAACAAACAAACAAACAAACAAACAAACAAACAACCCGGGCTTGAGAGATGGCTTAGTGGTTAAGAGTACTGACTGCTTTTCCAGAGGACCCAGGTTCAATTCTCAGCACCCACATGGCAGCTCACAACTGTCTGTAACTCCTATTCCAGGGGATATGACACCTTCACAGATGTACATCCAGTCAAAAGACCAATGTACATAAAAATAAATAAATTTTTTAAAAAATCCCACTTTTAAGCTGGGCAGTGGTGGTGGACGCCTTTAATCTCAGCGCTTGGGAGGCAGAGGCAGGTGGATCTCTGTGAGTTCGAGGCCAGCCTGGTCTACAAAGGGAGTTCCAGGACAGCCAGGACTACACAGAGAAACCCTGTCTCGGGGACTGGGGCAGGAGTGAATGGGTGTTTGCCTATGTGTGTGCGTGTGGACTGCCTGTGTGCACTGTGCCCACGGAGGCCAGAAGAGGGTCCTATCTCTTGGAACTGGAATCACAGGTGGTTCCGAGCCACTGTGTGAGTGCTTGGCACTGAACTCAGGTCCTCTGCAAGAGCAGCAAGGCCTACTAACTGCTGAGCCACCTCTCTGGCCCACGTTTATGTTTTTGGAGACTGGATCCAGACTAGCCTTGGACTTGCTATGTAGCCAAGAATGACCTTGACCTTGACTCCTGACCTTTTTGCCCCACCAAGTGCTGGGATGACAGGCCGGCATCATCATGACCTGAAAGTTTGGGTCTGAAACAAAACAAAACAAACAAACAAAAAACCCACCACCTAACACTGCACAAGCAAAACAAACAAAAAACAGAGTAAAACAAAAACAAAAAAAGAAACAAACAAGGCCAGATTAAGAGATGCCGCTAAAGAAAGCATTCAAGGTGGAGGTTAGTACAGAAAACGTCCGCCCTTCTTTAGATCTTTCCCAAGTTCGATACTGTGTAACACTTAGTCATCTTCAGATTCATTGACACTCTCTGCTGCTAAAGATTTACACATACACAAAACACCTTTAATCCCAGCACTTGTGGGGGCAGAAGCAGGTGGATTCTGTGTGGGTTGGCGGAAAGCCTGGTCTGTAGAATGAATTTCAGGCCAGCTAGAGCTACATAGTGAGGCCCTGTTTCAAAAAAATAATAAAAAGTGTATATGCGGTCCATAGAAATGCCTGTTATTGTCATTTAAATTTGATCAATCTGCAGCTAGGAAGCAAGCCAGGAAATTTCCCTTGAGGTCTGCAGTACCCACATTTAGGTTTTTTTTTTTGGCAGCCCTCATTTACCATCAATACTAACCCTTCTTCTTATGAATTGCAAATTGCAGTTCTTCTGCCCCCTGATGGTAGACTGCTGGATTTGCAGGGAAACCAGACGGCCTGGACGGGGGCTCCCTGACACACCCTACCCTCTGCGGCAAACAGACGGTTCCCCCTCCCAGTTCAGCTGCCGTCCCTGAGGGACAGAGCCCCTGTTTGCCGCACTACTTCCCGCCAACCCCTTGGGGTCACCTACATCGCACCAGCAGGTTGACGGTCTTCTTGGCCGGGTTGCCCACGTTGTTGGTGGCTGTGCAGTTGTAGTAGCCAGAGTCCCGGGCCTGCACTGACGGGATGCTGAGGGTGCCCCCTTGAGCCAGAGCCCCCAGGGGCAGTGGGCCGGGCCCGTGGGACCAGTGCAGCTGGGGGAGGGGGTCGCCACCCGTCAGCAGGCACCGCACCGTCACGTTCTCGCCAGGGTTCACCACCAGGGTTTCGTTCACGGACAGCTTCAAGGCTGGCGGTGCTAAGGGGACAAGGAGGTGAGGTCTCAGGAGACTTTCAGGGCTAAAGGAGAGGGAGGGGCGGGAACAGGGAAATCAGGGTCTGCGGGTGGGGGGCAGGGGCCGTCAGGGAAGCTCTGGCAGGGATGAGGGAAACCCAGGAATGGATGTCGGGGAGGAGGAGCTGGGCGTGTGGGGTGGGTCCGCGTGGGTGTGGTCGGGGAGGTGCCCGAACCTGTGGTGTTGGTGAGCCGGAAGGTGATGGCCTTGTCCGGGATGCCGCACACATTTCGCACGGATACCTGGCAGGTGTAGCTGGCATAGTCTTGGGGCCGCAGGTTCTTCAGCTTCAAGACCTTCGTCTCCCCCTGGGTGGAAGTGGACCGCTGGAGTGAGGGGCCTGCTTGGGTCTCCTGGGGTCTCCTACATTCATTCATCTACCCCAGGCCCCACAGACAACAGGCAATTCCCATTCTGGGTCTCTTCTTCCCAAGCTCCGAACTGTGCTTCCACTGGCTTCTCTAAGGCAGGGGCTGCCCTGGTGCACCCTGTCCAGGGTTAGGCCTCAGTCTCCCCTTTTGGGAAGGGAAGGAGTGGAAAGGGGATGCCATTGTGGCTTGTAGCCCACACAACATGGGACTGGCCCACAGGCCACATAAGGGGCTGACAGTCCCTTCCGAAAGCCCTCTGTGGCAGAATGGCTCTGTCACCACCTCCTTGGACTGAGAGGGGCCTTTCCACCCCAACTTCTATAGCAGCTGCTCAGGGGTCCCCCATCTCGGCCACAGAGGCAGGCATAGATGGTTTGCTTGTCCTTCCGATGTTTTTGTTTTGTTTGCTTTTTTTTGTTTGTTTGTTTTCCCTATCCAGCCATACTCGGGGAACACGTCCCCTTTGGGACTCCCCTATCTGGGAATCTGACCTCTGACCTCTGCGCTCTGACTTTTTACGGCCGGCTGCGTGAACTCTAGAACAGGTTGCTTCCCACCCGGGCACTGAATCGCTGAAGTCAGGCCACTCTGCGGGCATCTAGGTGGCTAGGCCTCAGCACCCCCAGTTCGCTTGTGGGTGCCCCTCCTGACCTGGGTGTAGAGAGGCTCGTAGATGTCAACCCCATTGTCCTGGCTGTGGGACAGGGTGTCGGAGCCCCGCTTCCATATAAAGCGGGCGGGGGGGTTGGAGCTGACGGTGCATCGCAGGAACACGGTCTTCTCCTGGTAGAAGTTGCCACGGACGTCGCTCACCGTCTGGTGCACTGTCAGCACAGGCTCGTCCAAGTCTGCAAGGACACCCGCCCCGAGTCATCATCGGCTGAGGACTCCTTATGGGGCCTGCCTAGGTTTCTTTTCTTTCTGGGCCTCAGTTTCCTCATTAACCAATCAGACTGCTAACCGAGCCCCTGCTTAACTTGGAATTTCTTTTTAACATTGATGCCTAAAACCCTCCTGGTGGTGACTGTCTCTGGGCCATTGCTGGCCGGAAGAGGTATAAAGAAATCACCGAGCAGGCATGTCCAACATTTTGACAATGGGACACGATGCTTTCATCTAGAAAGTTCGGATCTGAGAGCTGCAAAACCGAATTTAAAAAAAAAAAAAAAAAAAAAAGGAATCTCATAATGTCTTAACTGAGTTTACTCTCGTGTGCCAGGCCGCCTTACAGCCTTCGTGGCCTCTGGCCATAGGCTGGACCCGCCCTGGCCTAGCTCCTTGAAAACACGCTACAACTCGGTGGGGCTTACGCACGCGTGCAAATGTGAGCAATTGTTGAACGGGTATCTTAAGGGCATCGTTGGTGCCAGGCCACTGTCCCTGTCACTCACATAAGCACTTTCTGGAAGCAGAGCCCAGGGGTCGGCAGAATTGAGAGATGGCTCAGCCTCCCACCAAGCTGGATGGCGGGAGTGTGGTCCCCAAGCCCCGGGAGGTGGAAGGAGAACACATCTCCTTCAAGTTTTCCTGGGACACCTCCACCCCACTACATAAATAAACAAAAATTTAAACTTTCCTCAGAGAGCCCAGGGCACAGCCAGGGCTTCGACTCGGGGGTCTACAGTTCCACAGGTTAGAGGGGAAGAGAACCCCAGAGCCGTCCTGAATCCTGTACCCTTAACTCACACAGGAGGCTTAGGCCTAGTCTACGCAGGGAACAGGACTCTGGTACCTCGCTTTTCCCCATCTGTGGAGGAAACATAATTCGACATGTCCTCCGCATCTTCGTCCTACTTTTGGGAGCACTTTCCTGCAGGGGCACGGACCGGCGAGGGGTGGGGGTGGGGCGTCAGTACCTCGCGGGGCCTCCACTCACACTGCACGTCCACGCGGATGGACTTGATGGCCGGCACGCCCACTCCGTTCTCCGCCTTGCAGTAGTAGCGGCCGCCCTGGGTGCGGGCGATGCGCTCGATGCGCAGCGTCTCGTTGAACACCGACGTCTCCTGGAACTTGTCGGACGCGCTGCCGGCCGTCTTGGTCCACCGCACCTGGTGGCGGGCAAGTCACCGCACTGAGGCCACCCCACCCCCGCTCCAGCCCCGCCAGGCGTCCCTAGCCTGGCCCATGCTCTCCAGGGTCCAGGAAGAGGGTGGACCCGGGCCTCGCCCAAGCAGGTGAGGGCAGAGGGAGGAGGCCCTAAGTTAGGAGCCTAGGCAGAGCTGTGGGTCTGTTCAGACATGCAGGGCAGACTTGGGCTAGCCTCTCCTGCCTGTTTTTTCCCAAGTGGGCTAGGGTTAAGGGGGGATTGGACAGGTATATACTTGGTGATGGGAAGACTGCTCACTGAATAAACGTGTGTGTTTGTGTGACCTCACAGGCCACCCGGCCCTGTCTCACACTCCAGGCCGGAAAAGAGCGCTCCTGGACGCCAGTCTCAAAGATGGCCTTCTGGGCTTCACTCCCTTCTGCAGGCCCAGCCTGTAGTTCTACAGAGGGTCTGTGCAGCCGCTAGACTTCAGCAGGGGAGCCGCTAGGGTAGGGAGACTGGGATAGGGTAGGAAACCGACTTCCATCGTGTTCCTGATCGGGAGAAAGCCGGCCCTCCTGCTCTAAGCAGCCCTGTGGAGGGGAGCCCAGGAGAAGCAACAGCCTCGGGCTACCCACGGCCACTTCCCTCTGAAGAGGGATCTTCAGCGCCATCACCCTCAGATGACTGACAGCCAACGGCAGCCTCCTGAGGGAGCCTGCGTCAGAGCCAGCGGGCTGCAAGTGTTCCGGGACTCAAGCCCCTGCGTTCTGAGGTATTTGCCAGTCAGCAATAACTAATACAGCATCACACCTGCCTTGCAAGCTATGAGGCTCGGGGAGGGAAGCACTTAAGTGTGGTGCCTCGGCCGCATTAGTCACTCAACGATTTCTATTATTAATAGCGCCCTTGGTAAACGTTCATGCTCTACGGCTTTGCCTTAATCTGTCTATGCGGACTTTAACGTACTATTCAAAACCTGGGTTTGGGTTTTTTTGTTGTGGTGGTTGCTGTTCTGCTTCATTTTCGCCTCATCTATGTCTGTGTGGCACGTGCATGCTTCCTTTGGAGGCCAGACGAGGGAATTCGGCCCACTGGTCCCAGAGTCATAGATGGCTCTTCTCCTGCTTTCCCCTCCCCGGGTTGTTTTCAAGTGCTATGTAGCTGACAGGTGACCCCGAACTCGTGTTCTTCTGCCTCCACTTCTACAGTGCCTGGTATCAAATGACGACAGCATTAGCCGTTTAATGCAATGCCAGGGTGATGCCCGGGGCTTCACGACTGGCAGGCACTCTGAGCTAACAGCCCCGAACCTCTCTCTCTCTCTCTCATAATTTCTACAGCTTCTCCAGACTCGTGGTTGATGTTCCTAGCTCTATCACCTAATTTACTAATTTTCTCTTTAGCTATCTCTGGGGTATTAAGGGCATTAAAAAAAGAGTGTACTGTTTTTATTTCTATGGTTTCTGTTTGCCTTTTCGCCTATCGAACCCATCAAGACTTCGATCGAGGTTCTACTTTCTCAAAGGTGTTGGTACACTGCTGCGCCTCTGGGAACAGACTTCCGGTCCCCTTCACAGGCAGAGGCTATTGTTGTGTGTCCATTTCAGCTCTGAGTCCTGGACCGACCTGTAGCCCTGCTGTGGTTCGCACGTGCAGCGTCCCCGGGAGGTTCGTGGGTTCAAGGCTCTGTGGCTAGCCAGTGGGCTTTGGGGAGGTGGGTTATTGATGGGTTCAGATCTGACAGCACCGGAGATTGTGGGAACTGGGAAGTGGGAACTAGTTGGAAGTTTGTTATGGTAGGGGCATGTTTTGGGAGACCAATGAGCCCTGAGATAAAAGTTTACTTTCTTAGGCGTTTTGTTACAGCAATGGAAACACGGACTCCCATGGGCCTCAGCCCCTCCCTGCCCTGTGTGTGTGCATGCTCTTCCTCCTGAGGTGTGTGAAGCTGCTGGCAGCCTGGGATTGGGGGATGGTGGGCGGGGGTGGGGAATCCTTAAACCCTTTCCATTCATTTGCTCCCAGGTGGCTTAACATCCCACCAGTCTGGGAAGTCACACAGCTGGGCCACAGGCATTGTCTCCCACTAGCTTTATCATAGACAACACCTGACAGCTTTGAAACCATCTTCACAACAGAAGCTCTCTTCTTCTGTCCGGCAAGGGACCGTGGCTTTCCTCTGTTTCTCCCATACTCCAGGGAAAGGTGGCTTTTCACTCTCTCCTTGTTCTCAGGGGAGCCTTTGTGTGCCAATACTCAGCTACAGGGGTAATTATTCCTCTGAAAGGCACAGAGGGCATACAGTCTCTCTCTCTCTCTCTCTCTCTCTCTCTCTCTCAGCTTTCTTGAGACAGGGTTTCTCTGTGTAGCCTGGGCTGTCCTGGAACTCACTTTGTAGTGAGACCAGGCTGGCCTCAAACTCACAGAGATGCACCTGCCTCTGCCCTCCCTGACTGTTGGGATTAAAGGCGTGCGTCACCACCACCTGGCTGAATAGATGTCTTTCTCACCCATAGATTTAAAGAATGTTTCCGGGTGGGCCTAAAGAGAGCAGCGCCTGCGAGTCAGAAAGGCAGACCACCCAAAGTCTGTGACCGTCCTTCTGTTCTGCATCTCCCCCACAGTCCCCTACATAAGCCTAGCACCCATCACTTTTGTTTTTGAAACAGGGTCTCCTACAGCCCAGGCTGGCCTTGGACTTGATATATACCTGAGGATGACTTTGAACACCAGACTCTCCTGACCCCATCTGGGATTACAGGTGTGCACCACCACCCCTTATTTTGCAGTGCTAGGGGATGGACTGCGGAGCTTTACACGTGGCAGTGGCAGGCGGCTGAGCCATCTGCTGAGTGACACCCGTAGCCTTCCATCGCTTTCAGCTTTCTAGCTTTCCACCACCTTGTCCTCAAGTCCCTGGTTTGCTTGAGGAACTTGCTTTTCTGTGTAGATTTCCTGTGTGTCTCAGACCCTCGCACGCCCATGGGCTGATGACTCTGCGTCCACTCAGTCCTTCGTCCTGACCTGGGCATGGACCTTGAGGCCCACCCCGTGCTCCCCCGATGGACAGGTGCCCCAGTGGCTGGCTCAATGAAGGAAAGGGGCGCCTGGGGAGAGGACACCACAGTGACAGAATCGGAATAAACAGCATCCTGGGGAATGACGGGAAGCCCCTTACAGCTGGGACATGGATGTGTGGAAGCAAGTGGAACCGGGATACAGAAAGTCTCCAGCTGCACCCCAGGGGCTTAACAAAGCTGGTAAACCATGAGGAGCCACTGGCTGTTGCTAAGTGTGGGTAGTGAGGCAACGGAGCTGGGTTGGGGTATTCATTCCAATGGCGTGGAGGGAGGGGACAAGCAGAGAGCCTGGGAGATCAGTTTCAATCTACCGTAGTGGACTAGGGACAGGACTGAAGACCTGAGTTAGAGGGCAATGAAGAGGAGACCCATACAAGACACAGAAAGCCAGCGTCTGGCCAGCAGAGCCAGGCAGATGAGACCAGGCAGAGCCAAGCATGCGGGCTTGTCTGGCAGGGCGAGCGGCGAAGCCACTGCTGCAGCAGGAAGACAGAGGCTACTTGCCCAGCATGCCTGGGTTCCATCCCCCGCCAAACCCGGGGTGGGTAGCTCTCGTCTGTAATGCCAGCACTACGCAAGCGCAAGCAGGAAGGTCAGAAGTTATCCTCGGCTGTGTGGGAAGTCTGAGGCCTTGCCTCACCCAGCCGGGGCCTCCAGTGGTCACAATATGGGACGCATGCCCAGATGGCCAGGGGAGCCTGGCAGCCCGCTCACTAGCCTCACCAGCCACATCCCCACTGCAATCATCACACGTGACATAAAGACCCACAGGAATGCAGCTGCCATGTCGTCAGCGCCAAACCAGCCTTTGAGCTCGAGGCGAGCCGTGCCGTGATGGAGGCTATAGGTGGAAAGAATCTTTAGGGCCTTCCTTGTACATCTGTTCATCTCAGAGACAAAGCTGGGAAAGCTGTCTCCGTCCCCCAAACTATCAGGGGGGTTAAAAAAAAAGGATTCTGTATTTCAATGCCCTTCCTAGAGTCCAATTGCCACCTTTGTTGCTGCTATTCAAGTATTAAAGGTCACGGCAGCTCGCCAGGCAGTTAGTTCTTCCAGCCGTCCTCCCCACCTGCCTCCTCCTCCCCCCCCCACCCCCGCCAGAACCTGAGCACTTGATCTATGACAAAACTCATCTGGCATTTCCAGATACTTGTCTTCTGTCCCCTTCTAATTGCCTTGTGTCTTTGAACCTCCAGAGTTTGCTCCGGCCTGCCGAAAGCCTGAAGTGTTGCCTTTCCCATCCGTGCGGCTCCTGACCCAAAGAGGAGGGCAGTGTGCCAAGCTACAGAGGGTAGGGCTTCTGGATTCAAACTCTCCTTCCGCTTTCTTAAGTGCTGTGGGACCTTGGGAGTTTGCCCAGCCTCCCTGGGCCTCACTTTCTCATAGGATAAGTAAAGTGGGGCCTTTGGAGGAGCCAGAGAGAAAGAAAGAGAGAGAGAGAGAGTGAAAGGGAGAGAGACACTGGCCAAGGGGCCTCCATGGCATTCGGTCTGCCCTCCAGCATTTCTTGAGGGTGTACGTAAAGATGTGTCTGCTCCACAGGATGAGGGATGAAGTGGAAAGGAACAGCTGGCATTCCATTTTTTTTTCCCTCTCAGCTCTCAATGTCTTCGAATCTAGCACTTCCCCTAAAGGGTTAATTTCCAGGCTAGTCATCTGTCCCCAGTCTTTGCTGTCCCTTCATGCTGCTTGCCTTATGAGTGCAGTCCCCGAGCTCCTGCTTGCCGTTAGACTCTGATGCCAGGCGGTGGAGCTTGGGCAGGACAGGTGCCCAGCAAGGCCCGGCTTACCTGGGGCCGAGGGTGCCCCGTGACCAGGCACTGCAGCACCAGGGTGTCGCTCTCCCGGATGGTGTAGACTCGCTCGCTGATGTTGTCCTCCTTCACCACACAGGCCTGCCCTGCGTGCACAATCTGTGCCTGGGCCGGAGCTGCAGAGAGATGACAGAGGAGGGTTAGGGAGGGCTCCCGGAGCCCAGGGACTAGGGCTGCCTCTAGGGAGTGCATATGGGGAGAAGCCAGCCGGACTCCCCAGACTTCACCCCCACCTGGCCAGGATCAGCTCTTCTCAGAGCCCAGGCCCGAGTCAGGAGACCTCAGGATTTTGGGAAGATGGGTCCCCTGTGTGCTCTTCAGTGACAAATACAATGTGTGTGTTGGGGCGAGGGTCCACATACTCTGCTGTAACAGGCATGGCAGAAAGGAAGAATTCCCTCCCAGGAATCCCGTGGGAGAAGGGAAAAGGACCAGCCGGAAGAGATTCTCCGGGAAGAGGTTTCATGGACCACTTTACAGGAAGAGCCCCACGCCCAGACAGTGAAGGGTCGACGGCGGGCGGGGAGTCAGTGTGCACCTCCTTGGGCCTCTATTTAAACTGTGGTCTTATTTCAGGGCCCCTAAAGATGGACATCGGGGTTTCACTGGATCTCTGTCCCTCTCCCTAATGTGGCCACATCAAGGCCCCCCCCCCTCCCAGAATCCTACTATTAATTTGTCCCTTTTAATTAGCTAATTGAGGCCAGAGGTCACAGGTTGTGACCCCCACGTTCAAGGACACTGGGTAGCCGCTGCTCTGCTACCCAGAGCACTGTCTTGGGAGCTCCAAGTCTTGGGTGCTCTTGGGGCTACACCCAGCTCTGTGCCTAACCCCCCCTTCACAGCGCTCAGGTGACCCATTCCCCAGAATACTCTCTCCTCTCTCTCTCTCTCTCTCTGTCTCTCTCTCTCAGGGATGGCCCTGCCTGTTCGGGCTCTCGGGCTCCCCCTGGGGACAGTCGAGGCCGGCCTTCTTCAACCCCACCTCAGTTCCCCTTGAGACCCCGTACCTAGCAAATCCCGCGCCCACACGCCACTCCCGCCCGTCTCTACCCTCTCGGCCTCTGCTTTCCGTTTTATTCTGCATTTGTGCGTGTGTGGTGTGTGGGCGTTGTGAGTATGCGTGAGTACGTGTGTGGACGTGTGTGCACGTGTCCGCGGAAGCCTGAAGTCCATGTTCGGAGTCTTCCTCGGTCGCTCGCCACTTCACCCACGCAGCCAGGGTGGAGCGAGCCCGGATCTTTCTCAGACAGCTAACTAGCTAGCCTGCTCGTTCCGGGGAATCCGTCTCCGCCGCCTTCAGCAGGCGCTGGGATTCAGGGCAGGCTGGCACGCCCACCGGGTATTTACAAGGGTTTCGCGCGCGTAAAGCCAGCGCTTTCTCCACTAAGCCAGCTCTCTCCCCAGCCACCGCGGCCTCGGCTTCCAGAGCAGGCAATTCACAGCGCCCCCTCCCCCCTCCCCTAGCGCCAGAGCATTTGTTTATGTTGTCCCCAAGCTGCGGGTAGCTTCTCCTCCACGGGACCGGGTTTTAATGAGAGGCTGGGAGCCCTCAAAAGACTGTGGCTCCCTTCCGCCTGGGATCCAAAGGTGTAAGCCAAGGCTTTATTGGAGGCTAGAGGGAAGCGGGAGAACTGCAGGGCAGGGAAGGGGTGGTGCTGACTAGAGCTTACTTCCCTCCTCCTCCTAACACAAACCGCCCCCACCCACCAGTGCCTGGACTCAGGAGGAGGGAAGGCCCCAGCTTCACACCGAGAGGACAGATTAGGGGATACAGACACAAGGCAGGGAGGGGGAGCATTCCCTCTGCAGAGGCCTTCCAGAATCCTGTAGGCATCCAGACTGTCCACACATCAGACCTGTCCTCAGGTTCAGGATGGTGGTCCTTAGGCCTCATCTCGGACCGTGCACAAGGCCCCATGTTGAGGAGCGATTTCACAAGGATGCCCCGCAGAGAGGTTACTAAGGGCAGAAGAGCTTCGTTTGCCTCAGACGTCAAAACACAAAGACCCATTCTGGTGGCTGGAGCCGAGTCCCCCATCACATGCCACCCAAGAAGAACAGTAGTGATGTCTGGGCCTCACTTTACCTGTCTCTGAAATGGGGATGCAGCCAACTCCTGGAGCTTACACGGTCGGGGCGCCAACATGATGAATAAAAAGTTCAAAGGAGCTCCCACCACCAACACTAACGGGACCAATAAGATCTAACCAGTTGTGTCCCAGAAGGCAACCAGCCAGCAGGTCAGGAAATTGTCTGAAATGGGGTTTCTCCAAGCCTTCAAAGTGTTGGGATTATAGACACATGCCATCGACCCCAGGCTGGAAAAATTTGTGGTACGGCTGCTGAGCATGACTCTGGCCATGCCTCATGAGGCAGCCGTCCACAGACAGTCTCCAGGCGACCATGCCGACTGCATGGCTGTCACAGGGCAGTGAACCTTGGTTGAGTGGCTAACAGAGAAGCTGTGTGTCTTTGGACAATGGGATTCACCTCTCTGAGCCCGTTTCCCCACGTGTGGGAGGAAGATGGGTTGATGACCTCTGAGGTCTCTTCAGCTTTGTAACCGGTGCACGGTACCTGTATGAAACGCGCACACCACACTGCAGGGACCCGGCCTGTCGCTGTCACCATGCCATAAAAATGCACTCGCGTTACCATCCGCAGAAGAGATAGGCATCTTTGGCCCAGGTCCCCAGGAAACCTCATCAGGCAACAAGCTACCAAGAGATGTCATGCATGCGGGTTGCTGATAAGGCCAGGAGGCTGTATGGATATCTGCGGGAGGCCCAGGCTGCCTCTTGACAAGAAAGACATCAGTTGAACAGGCTTCAATGGAAGATAAGCTATAATCTTGGACGCTGTGGCTTGCCCACAGCAAGGCGGTGTTGTAATGATGGAAGCGTTGGTGGCTGATAAGGAATGATGGAAAAGAGCTACAAAGCTGCACACGCTCGGGGCACAGTGAGCCTGGACCAGGGTGCAGGGACCTGGACGGCAGACACAGGCAAGCGCCTGTAGCTTCCTCACTGGAGGTGGGCAGGGAGCAGCCATCATGGATGACATCATTAAGGTTTCCCACCTCCCTCTGCTGACGTGAGCTGTTAAGACCTGACTCTAACATGGCGGAGGACACTGGAGGAGGCCTGAGCCACACTTATGAATGCTGGCATGCGTGTGCCCCGTGATAACATAGCACTTTTCTCAGGGATGGATGCGACAGAAGTGAACGCTCGTGGCAACCCCACGACAAGTCCAAGAATCTCCCAAGGGGCTGAAGGGATGTCTCAGTGGTTAAGAGCAGGTAATGCTCTTGCAGAGGACCCGAGTCCAGTTCCCACATCCGAGCGCACACATCTGCCCCTTAAACACACATGCACATAATTACAAATATGCCTTTAAAAAAGAATCTCTTTCGAGTGCCTTTGCCTTTTCTTCTGATAACTAAAGCCCGGCATCAACTCACGTGCCTGTCAAGACCAGTGAAGGTGAACCCAGCGTGGTGACATGTGCTTGTATACAGCAATGGGGAGGCAGAGCCAGGCAGAGCTTTGTGGGTTCGAGGGCAGCCCAGTCTACAGAGCAAGTTCTATGCCAGCCAGGGCTACACAGTGAGAGTCTGTCTCAAGACAAAAACAAAACGAGACAAAAGGCAGGCTCTGTCAGCTATGTCCTGCAGGCTTGCTGGCGTGGCAGTGCCACCGTCTCTGCTTCCCTTGTCCCAGGGGTAAGGGGACACTGGCATTAGGCCCTCTCATTATTGTACCCACATTTTACATTGGTTCTCAGGATCCAACTCAAGTCATCAGGCTGGCAGAGCACGCGTCCTAAGCCATCTCCTCAGCCCACGCCGGTGTCTTTTACACAGCACATCATCAGCCAGATGAAGGGAATGCACTATAGCCGCGCTGATCCTCTCAGGCACGATTTGATAGACCCCAGACACCAAAGTGTCTATTACGCATGACTTTATTTGTTCAAAATTGAGAGCTGTGAAAGCTAACCTTGTAGTGACGGAGGCTTGGGAGGCTCCCTTAGGGAGACAGGGTATTATTAATGGGGAAAGGAATACCAGGATTTGCTGGGGAGGTGAGATAGAAGACACCTCGATCTGAGTGCCCGTTCAATGGCGGTGAGGTCCACATGTCCAGGTATCTATTTCGTTATAGTTTGGATACGACATGCCCCGCCCCCAAAAGGCTCACGAGTAAGAAGCTCGAGCCCCAGCTATGGTAAGAGGTGAAGGGATCTTGAGGGCACGAAGTTATTCAAAGGCCTTTGATGAGGAGGGCTCAGGCCATAGCTCACTTTGTAGGGGGCTTGCTTAGCATGCATGGAACCCAGCATTTGAGCCCAGGCACCGCATAAAACCAGGCACGATGGCACACGTCCGTAATCTCAGTATTTAGGAGGCTGAAGCAGGAGGATCACTTCAAGATCATTCTCAGCTTCGTGAGTTTGAGGGCATCTGGAGCTGTGTGAGATCCTGTCTCGGGTTGGGGATTTAGTCAGTGGCAGAGGGCTTGCCCAGCTAGTGCAAGGCCCTGGGTTCAGTCCTCAGCTGATCCTGTCTCAAAGGGAAGGTGGGTATGGCTGAGTATATACTTTGAGTTTAATCCCCAGAACTCAGGTTTGTTTGTTTGTTTGGTGGTGGTGATATTTTGTTTTTTATTGTTTTTGTTTGGGTTTTCATTACAGAGTTTCTCTGTGTAGAATTGGCTGTCCTGGACTCGACTTATAGACTGGCTCGCCTCAAAACTCACAGAGATCTGCCTGCCTCTGCCTCTGCCTCCCCAAGTGCTGGGATTACAAGCATGCATCACCGATCCTGGCTTTTTATTGTTTGTTTGTTTGTTTTTTAATCCACAAATGGGGCATGCATTTGTGATAACCATGAGCCAGAACAAACCTTTTTTTTTCAACTGAGGTTGATTTTGTCACAGTGACTAACACACTGAGTTATGCTTCCATTTAAGAAACAGCAAAAGACCCATCTCTGCTAGCCTTAATTACCGTAATTATCCCAGAGAACCCAGAACATCTGTGACCCTCACGTCAGAGGCCGTTCCCTGAGGGAGGATGTCCAGCACATTACCAGGCAATTCAGAGGGCTCCC